TGACATCTTTTACCGCTTTCTTTGGTTCACCTGATGATAACTGAAATGAATTGAGATATTCTTTGCCAACTGTGCATGGATCTGTACCCGCGTAGTCATCAGCAGTCAAGACCTTGACTATTCACGCACATGACATGATGCCACATTTGGCGGTCACACAAAGTAGTCTTGATCGTAGTTTAGTAGCGATATTTGCCTGAATAAGACTATGATTATAAAGGAGTGGTTACTACCTCCTCTCCGAGGATTCCATTTAACTTAGACCTACGACCTTCGTTTCAAAGGCCCAAGAAATCACAGTAGTCCCCCTATTTGACAGTTTAGTTACACGATCAAGCGGGCAAATTGTGTGATGGTGAGTCACCCTAATGGAGGAGGGTGAACTACTTATAATTACACCATCTCACGGGGTATTTCGTTAGCCAATTTGTAGGTGTGCGCAGGCCTACGAGCGCTGGACGCCATAGTCATATGCCCGATCGGTTATTTTGATTTTATTCCTCAGCCTCAAGAGAATCAGTGTGCCGTTCCGTAACATTCCACCGTCCAGTATTAGTTGACCGCGTTAACCGGACTCCAAGTAAATTCAATTAGTCAAATACCATTCAAACGGCAGCATATAAGTACGTCATCGGCCAATGAAAGTCCCAAGATAAAATGGTGAAAAGGTAAAATAACTGACTTCGTAAGTCTGAGAAGGGGAACTCACCCATAGTTCCCTCCAGACCGGTCGGAGGTTGATTCACAATGTGATGATTGAGTCGATTTCGGTAGATCCCGGACAGGCGCACATCACCGCGGAAAAAAGCTGGACAGACAGATTGACCCGCACATGCGGGGCACTTTTTCACCTCCAGCTGATTCACATCCAGCTTTGGGCTGGGAAACACGAACAAATTCAGCGCGCGATAGATTAAACTAGATAGGATAAGCAGAGAAACTATCGAAGTCACATAAACCAGCGTTCGATAGCAGATCGGATGACGAGATTGACGCGTTCGCTCGGGTTTGGTAACCGCATCATCTTGTGATTTCTCCTGAAACAACAGAAATGACTTTCAGCCGCTGTTCAGACGAGTCGTGTGCCGCATATAAGATGGAAACGTTCACCACGGTCTCTTGCCATATAAACAAACCGTAATTTATGCGCACTATCACGGAATAAGTCAAATGCATGCTCGATAACACATTCGTCTAAATTGGAACATTCAACAAATGAAGTATTGCTATTTTCGGTGCATGTTTAATTTACTTCATTACTGCTACTGACTGTTGTTAGTAGTCAAACCCTGTTTGAACAATCCTCCCAGTTTCCAGCTTTCGCATGGGTTGATTCCGATCTGTTTTCGTCTTAGCGGCTAACTGACCGATAGATCGATCGACCATCGCGACTCGCCCACGGTGTTGCTCTGATCACCAGGGGTTGATACTCTTTGTCGGAATGCTGGTTAAATCACTTGGCGTGAAACTTTCCTTTCGATTTGAAGCTTCTTGTCTACCATGGTGTACGTTATTGTTTTATCACTACAGAACTAGTACAGAAAATTTCTGACTATCTTCTGCTATTACCACCGATCTCGGGCTGCGTCTATTCGAGCTATTACTGGCAACGTACCACAGATACAAATCGTATATTTACAATTACTGCATGTGATGAAACCAAGAACCACGGACTGTGGACAAATAAATCACAGTAAAAAAACTTGACAAAATGAAAAAAGTTCTATGATTTGCCGCTGGGCACAATACTGCCAAGTTGCCGGGACCAAGGCAACATACATGCATGCATGCATGCATGCATGCATGTATGTTGCCTT